CAAATGTAAACCGTACGTACAGAGCGGTTGTTTTTGCTCATTTAACACATTGTTTTGTGTCGTTCTCGTTGCCGTTGCCGTCCTCGTTTTTTTTTTTTTTAACTAAGGACAGCTGTGGCGTGCGCTGGATGCTTGTTTTTTGTTTCGTCTTAATATAAATCATAACATGCCCCTTCCTTTCGGTTGATTCATTTGGTAGTATTCATTGGCGGGGAAATTGCAAAAGAAAACAACATTTGGTAAATTCGTTGCAAATAAGGACGAGACGAGCGGTAACTTAAAAATTATTTTCAATAACTAAACTGGTATAAAGAATGAAGTATTGAATAAGCAACTTTAGGGCCTTCAGCATTAATTTATTTCCAATAAATATTGTAAGAAATTGAAAAGCAGATTTGTTGTAGGAAGTGTGCAACACTACACTAGAGCTGCAAGGTCAATGTCTCAACACTTTGCATGGAGGGAAAGATGGATTAATTTTCCTTACTTGGAAAAAATAATAAAAACGTAATTCTCTGTGAAAGTTGCAATGTTGCATGCATTCAAATAAAGACTAGCCCTTTAAAGCTAATCCTCACCCTATGCAATTCGTTGGCTTGTGTTTTTCGCTCCATAGGCAGATCTAAATCAAGATGGCATCAAGATCATTTTATTCTGCTGGTTCAGCTTTGTTTGGGACTGTTTACTTTTTCTTTTAACAAAAAACGATATATTTAAGATAGAGCTTTGCGGTGGCGTAATTTGTAATATTGCTGTTTTGATTAAAATGTCCGACTGGGAACCTTTTAATAAAGCCGGAGAAATACATCGTTTGAAAACCACCAAAACAAATAACGCTTTTGCAACAGTGAAACCATCATTGTTTTCATTTCTGTTCAGTAAAAATAAGCTAACGTTGTGAACAATTTTCAGTAAATAATGACCAGATGGTCATCCAGTAAACCGTTCTGCTCAGTTTTTGTCTTTGCCCTCCTTGGCCTTTTTATATCTCTCTGTTTTATTTCTTTACAAATAATTCTTTTCTGGTTTCAAAGTCTAATCTATGCTTTTTATAAATGCAATATTTTTCCTTGGAACGTGGATCACTCTCACTAGGTTTTACCACCTTTTTTTTCAATTTCGTTTGCGCGTGTTCTCGTCCATCTGTTAATTCTTGGGTTT